ATGGAAAGTAAGACTCAGTTGTATGTGAATACACCTGGTGATGACAAAACCTCGTTGTACATTTGCTGTTATGTTAAACTTATATTAAAGTTTTCTTCATTACCCTTTCAAGCCGTCTCCAATCATACTTACCACATCATAACTGTAGAAATGTTTGTCAGTGATTCGCCATTTTGTCTCATGAAAATTTCTTCTCTTCTTCCTCTCCTTCCCCAAAACTGTAATTGTGGTATTTGATATTTGAATGCACAACATTTGTGAAATGTAAAGGCAGTGTTGGTATTGTTACGTCTCTGTTCGTTTGTTAATTTTCCTTAAAAATTATTTCCGAAGAAACTTTAGTGATACAAGTCCTTTCTTAAATAAAACTAGTTTATTCTTTCTCAATACAACTTTGCAATACACTTAATTTCCACAGTCACGCTGTAACTTAAACAAACGCTATAATTCACAACGAACGATTCACGCGCTTGACTCAGTTGTCCGTCTCTATCTCTGTCTGCAATTCAATGCCCATTGTTGCCGTCACTTCTTGGCGGTCTTATATACAAGAATACCGCAGATCCAGTAAACACTCGAGCATTCACGAACCCTCGAGAATATCATGACGTGTTTCCAGCGTCACGTGACTTCCGCTGTCGTAACAGTATGTAATTAAAACAGTTAAGTGACCTGTATAGACTACTTACGTATGGAGTTAGGTAACTACAGTTCTGAACGAATCTGATGGCTGTTTTGGGCATCTCAGTGACTGCATAGTTAAACCTAAGTGGGTTAAATCTATTCCACAACACCAAAAACCTCTAGTACAAAAGAAACTTTGAGATTACTTATCTAGTAAAAGACTCCATATTTAGCGACGTTTTCCAAACCTAGGTATAGGGGGCAAATATTAACTCAACAGAGTGATGGTACCGGCACTCTAAGTGGCTATAGATCAATGAAGAACTTCTCGCACAAGACGTTAAAACACAAACACTGCTGTCTGAAGGATGACATATCCATTCCCCAAATACCTTCCCCTTTGCAATGCATAGTACTATGTACACCATCCCTCCCTTATACATATAGTGACGTCGTCCGTACTTCCCTATTCCTGATTTAATTTTTGCGTAGTTTAATAAAGTTTAAAAAACTTCTTATGCACGCACACGTTACTCTGTTCATTATATAAATTTTCTACAATATATAGTTTTAAGTTGAAATTCTTACTATAAACACCGAGAAATATTGGTTTAAGTTTGGAGCAGGACGCAGTAGTAGTAGTATACGTGCAGACAACCATACCGTTGTAGCAGGTGGCCCATGTTTGAGAAAAGCAGATGTCAGTTAGTCCCGACTCTGTAAACAGTCAACCATTTTAATAGTTTGTACACATCCATGCTAGTCTTGTTTGCGTTGTTTTACAAAACACACGTTAAAACGATATAACCCGAAAGCTGTTTCAGTATCCCCCACCCACACGAAACCATCAGTGTTTTTTATCTTTCTTTTTAAGAGGTGCCCAGTCGTACAAATAAAAACAGTTAATTGTAATACAGGTAACAGAAAGATACACTAAAACATGTAAGTGATTTATTACCCCCGCGCATGTTTTCATGTAGAGAATTATAAATATTATTACACATAGCTGTTCGTTGATCTGCAGATAGTTGTACCGTTTCGTTTTGTTTTCATCTATCATGGAGAAAAACGGAATCGTTTCACGAAAACTTAAGAAGTTGGAGAAGCTCTGTCGCTTTCTAAGTGATGTAATACTTAAAAAAGGGTATTACCAAACATTAAGCACGAAACTCGGTGAAGTTGTTAAACCTATGTTACGATAAGTTTTATATATTTATTTTAAACATGGGGTGTTATATTTCTGTTTGATTATAGAATAGCGTTGTGTGAATAATATGTATGAGTTTTGACGTTTGCTAATAAATATTCTTATATTTTGCTCGATCATTAAAAAAAACGAATACTATAACCTAATGAATACATAAACAAACAGAATGACTTTGGTTCAAGACAAGGGAGTTACTAGATAATAAAACGCACATATTGACGGCCCTTCTGTGTGTGGTGTGAGATTACTGTATATATTCTACAAAAAAAAAAGCTGGACGTGTATATAAAGAACAACTGCGTCATTGGTTACGATATAACTTCAATGCCAATCATTTTTTTAAAGTATTACAACACTTGTATACCAGTGACAACTTTAAATATGTAGATATGCCCTTGAGATGGGTAGATAAAAGAAATGAGTACGAAAGTTTTATTTCTTTCAGACCAACGATAACTTTGACCTTCAAGCCTTGAACCTCCAAGATTCCAATCAAAACCCTACAACCACTGCAAACTTCATGTCTGTTGACCAGGTAGGTTAGATTGTTTTGAAAATTCTGTGTTGTATATAATTTGTTGGATAATGACCATGAAGTTGACCTTTTCTTAGCTGTTGATTATATATATAACCATTTCTTGAACCGCAGTATTATTATTTTTTGCAGTGGCGTGTGTTGTAATTATTAAAACATTTGTCCTTGAAGTCTTTACAAGGGACTGCCTAACAAGTGCAATACGTGTGTTACAGGACACATACCACTTATTTAGGTTGAGAGCGTACACGAATGTTTGATATTAATTTTGCTGAAGCAAGCGCCAACTTTGGTATAGGACATGACTGTTTTTATTAGGGTTAACAGTTAAGCCTACTTCCCCATGGCGGACGAAGAAAATTAAGCGCGTCCTATGATTTTATATAAATAAGGGACCAAAATCTGTAAGTGTTGGGCATGGCCAAGCAGTTGGCTTACCGGACTGTGGGTATGAAGGTCCATGGTTCGCTTCTCATTGCCACAGGCAAATACCGCGCTTTAGTAGCGTAGATGCGCTATAAGAGTGACTGTTAAAGCTCACCATTTGATCAGAGTAGTTGACGGTGGATGCTTTTGATTAGCTGTCTTTTCTCTGGTCTTTCAGTTCAAAATTTGGGACGGTTAGTACAGATAGTTGTAGTGTATCTTTGCGCGAATATCCGATCATAAACTAACCAAATTCAGTCCAAAGTTGTAGCAGTGAAATATTTTCTTTTATTCAGAAGCTGAAAATGGTGTCGCACGCTTTAAAATTCCTACTAAAATTTTAAGTCGGTCACTTTCGACCGTATGTTTCTCTTATTCCGAATTATAATAAAGCGCACTGTAATTGACTGAGTGTGGATAAGGCTTATTTTACATATCACTTTATATAGCAAGAGGAGGGGGGGGGGGGTATGGATTCCGTGATGAAGGTGTTTGTGCTAAAATTGATGCTTCCTATCGTATTTTAGGGGTTATAAATGCATTGGTGGCTTGGGATCTGCTCTAGACCCCCCCCCCCCCTAGAAGGAACAAAAGGGAGAACACTTTCTTGTACTCTTTCAGTTCTGAATATGTGGAATTCAGATTCCCCCAGATATGCTTACAATAAAGCCATCAAAATCCTCTGGATAAAGTCATGGATCTTCCGTTGCTTTTGTTAGTCATGATCGTGCAACGTTTACCTGGATAAAGTCGTGGATATCCCGTTGCTTCTGTTAGTCATGATCGTGTAACGTTTACCTGGATAAAGTCGTGGATCTTCCGTTGCTTTTGTTAGTCATGATCGTGCAACGTTTACCTGGATAAAGTCGTGGATCTTCCGTTGCTTTTGTTAGTCATGATCGTGCAACGTTTACCTGGATAAAGTCATGGATATTCCGTTGCTTCAGTTAGTCATGATCGTGCAACGTTTACCTGGATAAAGTCATGGATATTCCGTTGCTTCAGTTAGTCATGATCGTGCAACGTTTACCTGGATAAAGTCGTGGATATTCCGTTGCTTCTGTTAGTCATGATCGTGTAACGTTTACCATGACTTAAGATTTTTGTTTTATTTTCATATTTCAAAAACAGAATTTTGATTAAAATACTTTAATGCATAGGGTACGCCAGTGCCACTAGGAAAAATGATGAAGTTAATTTAGTTAGCGGTGGGTTGTGTAACTTCCTTCCCTCTAGTCTTATCACTTCAAAATTAAGGACAGTTAACGCAGATAGCCCTTGCGAAGTTTTTCGTGAAACTCGAGAAAGAAAGAAAAACTTTTTTTTTTCGTTCCTACTATAAATACTCCCAAAATTTATTGTGGGGCAAGTGCGTAAAGAACTGTGGAAGAGCCTAAGGCCTAACAGTTACATTATAAATCCATAAATATTGAAAATGGATTCAGTTCTAACGATCTTACGGGGATGGGTTTAGAATATACATAAAAAATATATAATAATAATCTCCGACATGTATTAAAACAAATAACTCTCGCGTCATATTTCGGTACTTAGTGATTGGTTCACAGAAACTAAATGCTCACTATATTCTCAAACAAATCTCCAACTGCAACTTAACATTTTACATCACGAACTGGATAAACTAGCTATGTTTATTGTCATTACAATATATGAAGTTAACTACCATATTAAGTAATTCTTTGCCCATAGTTGATCATAAAAAAAATTAACAAACAAGATAAATAAAAAAATAGGGAATTTAGAAACCTGCAAATAGGGATCGTAACAAAGTAAGAAAACAAGGCTGGAGATACTGTAGATATTATTTACTCAAACTACAAATCCGCATTTTGACTCCTCCATATATAATTCCTATTTGCAGGTTCATAAGTTCCCAATTTTTTTATTTCTCTTGTTTAAATGTAGCTGTTTACGTAAACATTTAGCATGTTAACATGAAAAATTAAAGGTGGAAGAAAGAAGAGCTAGATAAAAGGAATAGATTGTTAGAATTGAATAACCCAAAGTATAACCATCCAAAATGTGTTGGATTTTTACCGAGGTTTTTTTTTTCTTTGCGTAACCAATCTGTCTCCTTGTGTTAAAACAAATATATAAGTATTATATAATAATTTGTACATAACATTTGATAACAAAATTAAATGTTTTATTCTGTAAAATACTAAGATACTCAAATATCGTTAATTTGCTGTTCGTTAATAAAATG